ATATAAGAAACAGTAAATTACATCAATAATCAAAAGGAAATACAAGACGTCTTTCAACCTAGGCAAGGGCTAAACGCTTGCTTCGACCTACAGATGTAGATCAGGAGGTAAAAAGCGCGTGCTTGCCGTCAACAAACCGGGCGAAGCTTCGAGAACACTGCAATTTAGGTCGGCCAACGTCTCCTACACTACTTGTACTTCTTCATTTGCCAGTCCGCTGCTAGCTGGAGCGAAGCCGACTAGTTATGTTCGTGGCTTCTTATCACCGGTACAGGAAATCGGCCCGAATTATCGAGTGTTTCCGCACGTTGATACAACGCAACAACAATAACGATAATATGACCACTTTCATCGGTAACATGGTCAAACACGAGCGGGAGTGCTTGATATATTAACGATTTTCCGGATCCTGTAGGCAAATTAACAAAAACTTCTTCTTTCTCGACTAAAACTTTTTTAATTGCAAGCTTCTGGTGAGCTTTAAGCTCGAAAACTTTGAACTTTGACGACGCTTTGCGATAAGCCCTTTCAAGCACCGCCATTTGTCTTTTGTTTTTCACATGAGGATCGCGATAGAAAACGATATCTGATTGGACTAGTCTCAAAAGGTGACTCTGGCGCGAAAAAGTTCCTGAAAAGGGAACCCGAGCTGTGAGTGGCCAATTCGGAGAAAGGAATGTAGTTCTTTTGGGGGAGCGTTGCATGACACCACAAAAAAAAAAAAACGGTTGCGAGGGAGACTAGTGTGCCGCCGCCTGAAACGTGAACCCAAACAGCCAATGGGAAAAATGGAAACGTATTCCCCATCTAAATGCAGGCACTCCGACCTCTGGGGGTTAGAGGTAAAACAGCTTAATTACATGCAAGATAAAATTTAACATAAAACTAGGAAAGTTCAAGAGCTGAGATGAATACATTCGAAATGTCAACCTTAAATACACCATACAACAAAAGACTCAATAGTAACGCCATAGCGGCCCACGTGCTAACATACCAATAGGTATTAAAACATTTACATTCTTTGTCACTGCCACTTACAGTTTAGTTCCGCCGAATGTAAATACATATCTTTAAGCTTTATCCTTTTAGTTTAATTCTTCAAAGTTTCTTTCTTGCCCCACCATTAACGGTGCGTCCAGCTTGAAGAGGTAAGGCTAAAATATGTAATAAAATTGTAAAAAATGCATAAATGCGATCCGTTGAACGGCTGTTACGCATGAGGTCAAGGCCAATCAGTTTCCGCACAGCCAGGAATGTATCAAATACATGACCTCCTCCGTGATAGCCGTTCGCGACATTTTTCGGCATTTTTAAGTAAACAAAGCACTTCAAGTAAGCAAAGTACCAAATCAAGGGAAGTATATGACGCAAGAAAAGGACTTAAGTACACTGAACAGTGATGCATATTCAGGAAAATTCAGTACGATATATTCGGTACAACATGTGTCCCCATACATGACCCTCCTATACATTTCAGTTATCGAACCGCTGAACAGATAGTGGCTTAGATCGCTGGGTGCAAATTCCGTGTTAAGTTGACCGATAGAGCTGAATAACGTATACGCATGCGTTAGGTATTGCCGCGGAAACACGGACTTTGAGTCGTTCGCATGGTTGTTTTCCTATTCTGTTGCTTCGAGGCGTCGTTTTCCTTGCCGCTTTTCTTTTACAGAACAACCTTCAAAAACTTGGTACACCCCCTAAAAATTAAAAAAAAAATACTTTTCTCCTTAAAACCTCTGGAAAGAGGAAAGTGCCTTCGACGAAAGCAGAGTTCCTAGGTTTTAAAAGGCAGCCGTTATTATTTTCCAATAATAGCCCTTTTTACAGTTCCCGGCGCCATATTGGATTTGTAACCGCGCAAACACGATAGCGAGGCTCCCGGTGACCCGCGTACTATAAAAGCAGTAAATACAGCTGATCGCAATAGGCTTCTCACGTTCAATCGCTTCGAAAACAGTCGAAAATGGTGCTTGTTTACCAAGATAAGGAGATTTCAACGCTAGAGGATATCCAGAAGTTAAAAGTGAAAGATTTGAGGGAGATATTACGTTCAAATTCGGAAGCGACGGGCGGAATTAAAGCGGACTTGGTGTTAAAGGTATACGCTATTCTAATGCGTAATGTGCTACGACCGGGTGATGAATCTGNACGCGGTCTTCAAAATCATCCTGAACCTCTGTCTTGTACATCGCGTCTTTCTGTATGGGTTGTTCCACGCAATCAGAGCGTTGCAGCCAAACCCCTTGACCAGGTCTTAATAAGAAAAATAAGGTTTGGAAAGAAAAACATCCGCCTCAAGCCAAAGTTGATAAACTTTGACCCAAGACCACCACAACAGCGCAACAGGGATGCAGAAGGGTTCAAAACTTTAAGCGAAAACCTCCAAAACTGTCTGCCTTCAAGCTCATTCTTCCTCTTTCACGACCTAAAATCAAACTGTTCTGAGGAACCCACCCTTCAAGAGACTGAAGAGCAAGTCGAGGAAACTGTTGCCTTCACCGACAGCTATGACATAGCTACTAATCGCTTTAAAACTATGATCGATGAACATGTTACGAGCCTAACCATTACACCAGAGGAGATCAAGGAAACTGAGAGGCTGACCAGAGGGCAATCAAAAAACGATTTTTGGTTTGAAAAAAGGAAAACTGTATTAACAGCATCAAATTTTGGAAATGCTGCCAAAACAAAAGTGGAGCCGTCAAATAAAATAAAGGCAATACTTTATGGTAACTTTACAACTGAAGCTGTCCAATATGGAATCGAAAGTGAAGAAAAAGCTGTAAATTTATTTATAAAGGAAATGGGTCAGGATGGAATCAGAGTAAAGGTGGAGGAAACGGGATTGTCATTGTCAAAGGACAAACCATACCTCGGCGCAAGCTTGGACAGAATAGTGACAATAATGGACACTGGTGAAAAATGGGGGATGGAGATCAAGTCTCCTTTCAGCAAAGCTGGCATGACTGTCGATGAAGCTTGTAAAGCAAAGAATTTTTTCCTGGAAAAACTAGCTGATGGGTCTGTTCAACTGAAAAGGAACCACAACTACTTTTGTCAAATTCAAGGTCAGCTGTACTGTTCCCTCATACCCCTTGAAGGCATTTTTTTAGTAGTGTACTTTGGAGAAAACATGCCACTGTTTATTGAAAAAATTCACTTTGATAACAGCAAATGGCGCGATGACTTGTTACCAAAGATTGATTATTTTTATCGAAGGGCTTTTTTTCCTGAGGTGCTGACCGCACGAGTGAAAAGAGGAAAGGTCCTTTACCTACATGGTGGTTGGCTTCCATTCGGACACTATTCAAGCTCAAGAAGTGGTTTAAAGTTAACACTTCAGAGAGAAAAATGAGGTGAACAATGAATACTTGTAAATATTAAGGGTAAAATTCAAAACCATTCTTTTCTTTAAGCATGAACAGTGCAAAAAATACATGTAATTTCATTTTTTACTGAAATAAAGTAAACACTTGGTTCCATGATTATTTGTTTTATATTAATTATGTCTGTGTCTCAAAAGGAATGTCAGATTTTTCCATAGAAAAAAAAAAGCTTATTAACCGAGCTTAGGTTGTCTGTCTGTATGTGACAATCTTGACCTTGGTCATGAGTACAGATCTCACTTCATTCAGCCTGTACTCATGACCAAGGTCAAAATTCTCCCATACAGACCCCCTGGTTGGTTAATAAGACAGTGGTACAAAATCCCAATGGTTACATAGAATATGAAACTAATGGAAGCTAAGAGGCTGATTACATGAACCGGGCTGAGCTGGCTAGCTGGGCTTCTGTCACACTTGTAAAATGCAACAAAAGTAGAAAAACATTCCGCCTATTTAACATGCAGACAATGATATTGTTATAGTCGCTTTAAAAACGCCATTTTCTTTCAAGCTGTTGCCAAGTAGCCATGCTACTGAACAAAAGTCATCCCAGCTAACCAGGGCAGCCTGCCTGTTAATCAGCCCAAAATTACGGAATGTATACACACACTCACTATATGAAAGCTTAAGCGGGAATCATGAGCTATTAGCCGGTGGCAGTAAAGGGGGTAGAAAATTTGTCAGAAGGCCACAGACAGTTGCAATTTGTGTTGCATAAGGGCTTAAGGTGTTCGGTAAAATGCCATCTAAAATGTGGTAAGTCTTAATGCGGCCAATAGCACGCTCCACATGAATCCGGACTGAAGCGATGCTCATAGTTTCTTCGGTTTCAGCTGCCGTCATTTGTTCACGACCGGCCAGAAATGGTGGCATGTTAACTGAAACACCAGCAGGTACAATTGCAGAAATGTCAAATCCTCGGTCTACCATGACATTGTCACCCGCTTCCAACAAATCCAATACTCCACTCTCTCTTGTTATTTGCTTATCAGACACACGCCCTCCCCAGAGATCTGACAGGAAAGTTACCTGTCCATTTGGGGTTACCCCAACTAGCAACTTCCAGGTATTATGATGTTTATAATCGGACCATGTCTCTGACTGGGCCAGCATAGCAGAAGGCCGCTGAATAAATAGTTCCGTGCAGTCTAGAATGATCCTGGTTGTGGCATAGTGAGCAAACTCCTTTGGCATGTTTTTGCGGACAAGTTCCTGAGTGGGGAATGGAAACAGTTCCTTCATTTCATAGTACAACAAATTTATCCAGGTGATACAAATCCTAGATACTAGGCTGGTACTGATACCAAATCTGTCGGCAAGGTCTTGCACAAAGAGGCCAGCCTTCAGTCGCATGAGTACGAGAAGAAACTCATCCAGATAACTAAGCTTTCTTGAAGGGCCAGATTTACGCTTGTTATCATCAGTTTGATAAGGCTGGCTTTCCTTTAGTAGATTTTCGCCCTTCCAATACTGCATTTTGGCAAGCTTTGGTTCAATGTACTTGTAGATGCTAATCAATGCATCATAACTTGGGAAGCCAGTGTAAAATAAAACCGCAGCATTGTCATCCTTAATTTTTTCGAGTGAAAATTGCCGTTCCAGTAACACTGCTTTTTCCTTTTCTGCTTCACAGAGCTTTTCCTGGCAGTCAGCTAGTTCAATTTCAAGTAAGGCAATTTTTCTTTGCAGTTCAAGGAAAATATCAGGCTCTGTTTGAGGGGTCTCACTCTCCAATTCAACAGCATTTTCATCAAACTGTGACAATGAACCAGCAGCAGAAGTTGAGGGTTCATCAGAGGAAAATGCTCTGTAGGCTCCAACATGCAATGCTGACACTGCTTCTCCAACAGACTCTGGAGTTGACTCATCGGTTACTTGTTGCATTCTTTCCGCTGGTGCCTTCCTTTGCTTCTTTCCCAAGGTCCAGCTAAAAAGACAAGGCTCTGCACCTAATAAATAAATCAATTAATTAATAAACAAATAATAAATTAAGCTGCAATAATTTATTACTTTTAAAGTCCAGCAAAACATATAACACATTATGAAACACTGGAATCATAAAGTTCACAATAAACAACACTCATATGAACAATACAAACATTTTACATTTTCTTAGCTTAACACTGCTGTCATGTGTACGAAACAAGACACAGCAAAATAATCAGAAATTTTAACATACAATGTAAACAATACTCGCTCAAAAAATACAAGCACAGTCTGTGATTTGGAAAAACTTTAAGGGCTACTTGGTATTAAAAAGACCAAAATATCTTCGCATTTTTAGTTTTTCATAGTTTAAATGCGAAATGCACTCAGCACTGTTGTCATGTAAACAAAACAAAAGCACAACAAACGACCGAAATATCACAAACCTTTCTTTAAAATCCAGCGACCAGTAAGTTTTTTTGAAATATCTTCGGTTCGAAAATGTTCATGGCAAAGAACGGTGGAAGTGGAAACGACAAATCCATCCTGTCCATGTCGCCGCTTGATGAGGGAACACCACCGTTTTCTTCGCTGAGCGTCCTTAGGAAACTCGAAGAAATGGTAACTTGTTCGCGTTCCGTTAATGTCGTAGGCGCTATTATTACAGTCAAAAGCTGCACAATACTTTCCTCTTCTCTTTCGAGTAACAGGGGACGTTTCCTCGGTGCTTAAACTTTCATTCATTCATTCATTTCATTTATTTCTAAAAATACTCGAGAAACTGACAACACACTTGAGAAATCAACCAAAATTCTTTACGACGCCTGCATCAGGTCACCGGAGCCTCGCTATCGTGTTTGCGCGGTTACAAATCCAATATGGCGCCGGGAACTGTAAAAAGGGCTATTTCGCTAAATTTTAAGACCCAGGACTTTTGAGCCCACGTTGTTGACCGCATGCCTTCTGACGTAGCATTTCATTATGCAGCTCTGTCAAGCTTACCGTTGGGAGTCACAAATGAATCAAATGAGTAAGACGTAATTGGTCTTTTGGAAATTCCATCGGGCACGGAATTCATGATCAGGGGATAAAGATTTATCTATTGGCGAAAGAAGGCGTAGCAATAATACTCATGGCGTCTTCTAACGAGTCGACTGCTACAAGTAGCTTACAAGAGGAGAAAGAGCAGAGGGTTATTGATGTCCTGTTTCTTTGTGACGAGTGGAAATCTTCGAAGGGTGGGTTATCAACTTTCAATCGAGAATTTGCCATTAATCTGGCGCTAGAGACGATTGGTACCATGAAAATCCACTGCTACGTCTCAAAAAGCGATGACCAGGACAGAAAGGATGCCAGAAAACACAAAGTAAATTTAATCACAGCTCGAAATATTCCTGGTTCAACTGACTCCTTCGAGTGCTTGAAAATTCCTTCCCTAGAGCTCCCAAATCCACAGGTGGTTATAGGCCATGGAAGAAAGCTCGGTAGATGTGCGTATTTCCAAGTACAGGTCGCAAAGTGTCGTTGGATACAATTTGTCCACGTTCATTGTGAAGACCTTGGAAAATACAAGAAAACAATTTTGCCTGCAACAGATACAATCGAAGAAAATGAGAAGAAGCACCAGATGGAAATTGATTTGTGTAAAGCAGCGGATGCAGTTGTCGCCGTTGGCGCACGTCTACAACAGAAGTACAACAGAAGCCTACCAACTGTCAAAGTGGAGGTTATTACTCCTGGAATCTTCGAAAAGTTTTCCCGTGAAACACAGTTTGCTATGCACAGATCCGTGAAGAACTTTAACGTGTTCTTGTTTGGCCGAGCTACCTTTGAGGATCTTTCTCTTAAAGGGTACGATATTGTCGCAAATGCGATTGGTTCTCTCGGTAAGAACTTTAAGCTGACATTTGTTGGTTCATCTCCTGGTGAACATCAAAAAGTTGAGCAGTGGTTTCTTGACAACACCTGCATCACTCGAAACCAACTAACCATCCGTAGTTATTGCAGTGATCTAGACGATCTCAAGACGATGTTCTATGAGTCAGACTTGGTTGCTCTACCTTCCCGAACCGAAGGCTTTGGGCTAGTAGCCTTGGAGGCCGTATCTGCTGATGTTCCCGTACTTGTTTCTGGTGAATCTGGAGTAGCTGAGGCTTTGAGAGAAGTGGACGGTGGAAACATTGTTATTGTTGAATCAGATGAAGATACAGATGAATGGGCACGAAGGATTAGAGAGAGGTCTCAAGAAAGTGCAGAAGATAGACAAGCCAATGCCACGAAGCTGCGAGAGAATTACAGGAAGGTTTACTCTTGGAGAACAGAATGTGCGAACTTTAGAAGAATGATTGAAAATGTTATGAAAACTACAAATGGTGAGCTAGCTTGATGCATTTACATTTTCTTTTATTCAGTTTTGCTGGTAGGTTGTGTGGTGTCGATAAATTCTAGGATTATTTAGGCTACATATGAAAGAACGAATACTGTTAAGCCTAAGAAAATTCTGCAGTGTTATTTAAGTTTACCAGATTTGAAGTTAGGCTTTTATCTTTTCTCCAAGCATGCTGAAGACTTATTTAAACTTGGCTAACTAATTACTGTAAAAGGAACTAAAAGGTGGCCAACATGCAAACTTTGATGGTAAATATTAGAAAGTGTAACGTGAAAGAGGTGACACTATGTTTATTAAGTAATCATGTTGCTTGGAACCTGAGTCATGTTGCCCGGAATTTTAAACACGTTACCCGAAAAAAAAAAATACTTTAGAATCTTTTTATTGGTAAAGATTTCTCAACTTTGTTGCTTATTTATAGTCTGTTAGTCTGAACTTTTAAGTCAGCAACATGACTAAATTTTCCGGCTGCATGACTCAGGTTCCAGGGGACAGAGCTGAATAACCTTTACACATGCCCTAGGTTTTGCCGCAGAAACACGGATTTTAAGTCGTTTGCATAGTTGATTTACTGTTCTGTTGCTTTGAGGCATTGTTGTCATTGCTGCTTTTCTTTAAGAAGACAACCTCCTAGAACTTGGTACACCCCCTGAAAATTTTCAAAAATTAATTTTCTCCCTGAATCCGGCTTTGGAAAGAGGAAAACGCCTTTGACAAAAACAGAGTTTCTCGGTTTCAAAAGTCAGCCCTTATTATTTTCTGCAAATTGTGCTAAATTTCAGACCTAGGACACTTGAGCCCGCGTTGTTGACCGCATACTCTCTGATGTAGCATTTCATTATTAAGCTCTGTCATTCCAGGGTTAATGACTCCCAGGCAAGATGACTCCTGGGCGACTTGACTGAAAACTATTGACTACAATGACCAAACAAACCAATCCAAGTGCATGTAACAATTTTCCTTCATAAAAAAAGAAATAAAAAGTCCAAAAAAAACTTCTTTGCTGTTAAAACCCCTTAAGTAAGCCAAGTAAACACAACCTGATTGAATCTTGAATTGGCCATCTAAACTAATCTTTAATATTCATGCTAAATAGTTTGGCAGATCAAAATGATTGATTTATAATGAATTGAAAAATTCTGCATGTAATGGCATGTTAAATGCTTTCAAAACTGGGTTTACACACATAAAACTTAAAGAACAGTTGTTTCTAATCAATGCTGGTCCAAGAAGCATGTGAAACTACTTATAGACCAATGGTTGAAACCTACATTTCCAGCAGTTTTTTTCTTTTTTTTTGAGGGGGGGGGGTTTAATATCATTATGTTATAACTTTTGATAAGAGTTTATGATATTTTGATTTTTCCATAACTGATGAACTAGCAGGTTACATTTTATATCAGGACAACATGAGATGATCAATCACATTGACATGATGATATTAGACCATTGCGGTATCAAAATATCAAGATCAGTTATCATTATCTGAAATGTTTGCTAGGTTCTGACTAGTGTCATGATATTATCAAAATATTGCTATCATGCAATACCATAATCTTAATTGTTTGCTAGGATATTAGTGTCTAGACTGGGGTTTGATATTCTGATATACAGTATGCATCAGGACTATATTGAAATACTATCATAATGATAATATCAAAGTATCGATATCAATATCATAATCTTAAATGTTTGCTAGGATCTGAATACATGTTCACCTGTATGTGAGTAGGGGTTTGCTATTTTGATATACCATGACAGTATAAGAATGTCATCATGATATCAAATTATCAATATCATAATCTCATGATAGTTGGGCCTTATCATGATACATATCAAAATCCAGCCTGTATCAAACCCTCAGTCACATATTCAGATCCTAGTAAACATTTGAGATTCTGATATCGGTAGCCATATTTTGGTAATACATGTATCATAATATTCTAATGTCATCATGATATATCATGCTAGTTTATAGGTGAGAAAATCAAAATTTCACAAACCCTTAACAAGAATGTTATACCATGATGTCATCCATGCTCAAAGAATGAGGCAGCACACAATTTTGATGTCATTGTTGTTTTTATTCTTATACCTCAGAATATCATGATAGTTTCAAAATAATTATCATTGTGATATGGCTTATGTACTGTACCAAAGATATATGAATGGTCATTTGATGACATCAACATCTCAAAGTCTCACAGTTAATTTGATATAATAAATAAGGTAATTTGTTAATATCACAAGATCGTGATTATAGTATCATAATCTCACAATTTATTTGATATTTTGATATTTAGCAATGATGCACCCTAGTGATAACCACAGTGTTCAGTAGAATAAAAACATGAGCAAGTTGAAATTTCATTGTTTTGTAGCTAAAATTTAAAGGGCTGGACATTTTTTATTGCTTTCAGTTTTCTATGTTGGTTTACATTAATACCAGTGTTTTTTGTTTGAGAATTATGATACAAGTAATTTATCTTGGAAAGAAAGAAAAACACAAACAAATTTAAAGATGTTCAGTAAACATCATTTTGATCTAAATTAAATTTTAAACCATGACAAATAAAATGCAAGTATGAGAATTGCATTACACTTATGAGTTATTTTCATATTTTTAATTGGTATCCTTATTGAGATGCTGAGAATTTTAATCATCACATACTGACCTAGAAAAATTAACTGAAACAAGCAGTGTGTGATCATAATTTACATAGCAGCAAATTCTTCTTCATATCTATTCATTACAGCTCTATACTGTTTGATATCAGTATGCCTAAATTATATATAAATAGTCAAAATGCTAGAGGTAGAAAACAAAACAGTTAAGTTGGATTTAATTTGACTGTTTGTTACAATTCAACAGATAGTGAATTGAACATGAAGATTGATGTAGAAGAAATAAAACCCAAAGAACCCAACATGAATACCACAAACTTAGCAACAGAGTCTGGAGGATTCCAAGGGGTTCATTGCCAGAGGGCATCAGATGCAACATCGCCTACAGAGGGAAGTGTGTCTCCTTCAGGAACAGAAGATCCTCAAGCATTCAGAGAGAGAGTCCTGGCCTTAATTGCTTTGAATTACCTCCAGACCACACCACCACGGTCAAGTGAAGAGCATGATAAGTTTTTGAAATACTTGAAAGAAATGAGGGTCACCATCACAGGTGTCTCTGTAGGAAGTTTAGTGATAACAGTGAAGTGCGAATCTCTCCAAATCTTGGAGGAATTGTGGACAGATTACTCATCTGGTCATCTCAGTGAAATGGTTCAAAATTGTTTTGTGACTGAAAAGATCTTGAAGGAACTGAACCTAGCTGAGCTGAGACTGAAAACAACAATGGACATAGAAGAGTACAATACAAGGAAACTTTACTTTGAGAGAGTTGCTCTTAGAGGTTAGTTGACAAAAAGTATCTGTTGCAATTAATAAAACATATTTTCACAAATATGTGAAAAGTTTTTTCGGACACAGCCCATCACTCCTTCATCATAGAGTACCATAGGGTTTTGAGATATATGTATAGTTTTTGATCAAGACCATTTACTGCATTACAGAACTTATTGTTTTTTTTTAAATTATTTGTCTGTCTCAGTCTATTTTAAGTATGAGTTGGTTGAAACCTCGCTATTTATTAATTTTTTTGCATATTTGTTTGTTTGTCTGTTTCTTTTTTTTTTTTAGTAATTTTTTTGATAGTGACTAAGCCTTGATTTTGGTGGAGGGACATGGACAAAAGAATTATGAGTGTAGGTTATTTGTAGAATACTGTATTTACCCGTGTATAATGTGCACTTTTTTCTTCAGAAATAACAATCAAAATCGCGGTGCGTATTAATTACACGGATTCCATTGTTTGTCACGCACGTCCTAATTTGCATACGTTAAAACAAAAAAAAGTAACACATTTAAAACTTTGATTAAATAACTTAATTTCAATGAAAAATTATAGGTGCATAATAAGTTTTTACTCTAAAATCAAGAGGAAAGACAAAAATCGCTAAATATTTTCGCAAGTGTGCAAACAGGCACGTGGATCAGATTTCAGAGGGAATATGTAAATTTGGCCGCGTATGAAGAGATCTCATATTATATGGAAGTTTTCAATGAGAAGCAAGAAGAAAGCGAGTGAGAAATATTTCAGGACAAAAGCTTTATTTAAAGCAGTTCTTGGTTTGCTGTTATAAGCAAAAAAAGTGCGAATTTCTTTTGTGTTTAAAGTGCGCGCAGTGGAATTCATCGATACTTTTCGGACATATTGCTCCCTCATAATATTTATCGGGCCGTGGAAACGTCAAATTAGCTAGGCCTTGCTTGAGTCCTAAAAGTTTGATTTCAATAATGTCATAAATAAGTAGGTAGCAAAAGATATTGATGTTAACGATATAGTAAATTTCTTATTCTTGTTGACTTAATAAATAATTGTACGAATATTTAACTTGCCTTTTTTGCCGTGAAAAAGTTTTTATTTATGATAAATTAGGTTAAAACAAGGGTGTGCATTATACATGGGCGCGCATTACACACGGCTAAATACTGTAAACAGATCTCTGCCATACAGTCAAACCATGATTCTTTGAACCTGGACAATCCAGCTTTTTCAACTGTGAATGTGCTTTAATATTCCAATTTGTTATTTTTGGCTCAGTCATTATTCACATTTTCGTGTATCTAGTCTCTGGATTATCCAGACTTTTCATCCACTCCTCATACGCCCGGATATTCAAGGTTCAACTGCATATTGAAAATGCAGTTTTTTAAAAGTGAATGTTAAACACAAGTTTGTTTTCTGTTCCTTCTTACTGAAGATGCCTTGTGCTCTCAGTCATACTTCATAAGTTCTGAAGATCAATCACCCAAAAGATGGCGACAGAAGACAGAGGTCAAGGAGTCAGAGAAAGTGAAAGGTAATTACAACAATCTAATTAAACCTTTGTTTTTGTTTTGAGAAATTTAATAATGCGCAAATTTTAGCAAGGGTCTTAACAGAAACCCTGTGTAGTCAACCTTTTCACTCCAAAGATCTCATTGTTAAAATTTTCCATTTAGCTGAAACACATTTCTCTGTAAATGGGTCACAAGAATTTGGTGTTACATCTGAAAAACAATATCTACCTGGGAAGTTTGACTATTCTCATTACCTGCTTGCTGGGTAATGTATGGATATTATGGGGAGAAGTCACTTGTCATGTGCATGTAATCACTTCTACGAGTTAAAAGGGTTAATAAAAGGTGTTTGTTGTGAACAATAATATTTTGTGATAGGTCATTTAAAACCTATCGTCCTAAAAAATATCTGGCAAAACGAGGTAAAACTTTGAAACCTTGGGAATGGAAAGGTGAACAAAGAATTTTATCAATTTCTACTTTGGTGCTCATTGATGTTTTTGAAAGAGGAAGCTATTCCCGCTTTACTTTAGCACCATTTTGATTTGGAGCTATTATTGTTATTTGTTTTTATGAAAAATGTCTGTATGTCACTGTACAGCAGCGCTTGAAGCTCAATTTTTCAAAAAGTCGCCGTTTGGCGACCTTCAATCGTGAGATGGTCGCCATAAAAAAAAAACAAAAAAAAAACAGTGGACGGCACTGACGACTAGGGCGTGTACAGGACAACTTAATAGTGCGAGAAAACTGTAGATTGCCTTTGATTTGTTTTTCGCCTAAGTTTCACATAGCTTTCCAAATTGCATGTCGTGTTTCCATGATCAGATGAGTTCGCTATCCTTTTGTGGACTATACTGTTCTGGTATAACATAACATTTATGAAATTAATCAAAAGTATGACAAAATTCTCGCACATGATTGGTCATCACCAGGTGGATTTTAGCACTTTAAGGACACTGTACGCATCATGCTTGTAAATTTTGTAAAATTCCCGAAAAATGTCCCCTGTAGATTTTGAAATTCAATTACGATTAATAAATAACCCAGAAAAGGTACCAATGATAAGTCCTTTGAGACACGATAAACACTTACCTGACTTTCCGCCCCAAAGGAGGCGTTTGAAGCAGGACATACGTTCGGTCATCACTTTGTCTTTTATCTCTTCCACTGTCTTTAGTTCTGTGCAAGAGATTACAAGTGCATACCTTGCTTGAACATATCAGGAAGTATCTTCGTTTCGCGTGATGCCATATTTGTCGAAGATTCAAGGCGATAACCAGCGGATTAGGCTAGAAATAGAAATAATCTCTGAGGCATTTACAACATTAGAAACATGTGGCGGAAAAACCAATCATCAAACGGTCGAGGATTACGTGATATACATGTAGCCCTGCCGTCAGGACTTGCTAAGTTTTCAATTCCTTTGAACACTTGAAAATTGTTGATTTAAGGATTTATGTCTCAGTGGTCTCCTGACTGAACGACTGCAGAGCAACTTTTCTTTGGAAGCGTTGCAAAATAAAATCGTCTGGGGTTTTGACTTAGAGTGAAGATTGCGATGATAACGATAGTATCGCTTGATCCTGAATTTAGCTAAGCAAAAGCTATAATTGTAATTTTCTATTTCCGTCAGGAAATGCTATGGGTCAGTGTCATCGATCAAATCCGTCTCGATATCCGTAACACAAAATGAGTCTCATTTAGCCCCGTTCAAGCTAAGCTGCGACTGAGGCAAAAAACTGAGCATCTTTAAAAGCCGCTTTGAGAAATCTTTTTTTAATGAAAAAAAAAAAACAAAACAAAACAAACAGACAAATACCTCGACTAAAGTTTTCGTTCTGAATTTTGTACCCGGTCAGCAATTTGCAGTTTGGTTTGCCTTCTGCAGTTTACATTTTCTACAGACAGACACGATAAATGAATATTTTGGTGATTGTACAATCATCTTAACCGAAGTCATCTTTTATAACTGTAAGGCCTTGGTCAAACGGCGCATGATAGTCGATGATAGTTGATGATAGTCCATGATGGTTGAAGCGCGCGCTTCCGTTTGACCACCAACTATCATGCACTATCATCGACTATCACCAACTATCATTCATTTTGAGCTTGTTCAAATTCTCCATGATAGTCGATGATAGTTTTTCTCGTTTGACCACGCGTATGATAGTTCGTGATAGTTTTTGGTCCACTGTTTTCCCCGAAAATTGGCGGGCTCGTTTAAAATGGCCGCCAAAAGCTTCTCGCAAGGCTAAGCTTCAGCTTCAGAAATTCGTTTTTATACCCAAGATAATAATAATGAGAAAGAAAGTATTGAAAACCATGAATCTGGAGAAAGCGTCAACTCTTCAACATCCCCCTTTCGTTTCTCCTTTTAATCCATTCCCTTGTCTGTCCTCTCTTCCACCAACGCTCTCCAGATTCATTCTCCGTGCATTCCTCCAAAAAATCGATTACTAGTAAGCAAGCTGCCGCCCTCTTTCGTCGTGATAAATTCATACTTCAACAAGTTTGTTTGTCTCACGCGAAGCCATGTTAGTGTTCACATTTTACGCGGAAAGAGCCTGGAACTAGCTGGTCGCATGACTTTGCTCGCGCGACTGCCGGTGAACTATCATCAACTATCACGAACTTTTTTGGCCATTTGACCATGCGAATGATAGTTAGTCATAGTTGATGATAGTTTGAAGAGAATCAACTATCATCGACTATTATGCGCCGTTTGACCAATCCTTAAGATTCAAACGTGCGTGACTTTTCACTTAAAATTTAGTCCTTCACCATTATGTGACTCGTTTGATTACACTTCTGAGTTCTCGTTGTTCAATGAATAATATATCAGTGTTGGCTTTGTTACAGCAAGTCAGGTTCATTCTAAATCAACAGTCATTTCACTCTGCCCATTCACGTCCATAGGAGGAAATATCTACGAACCATCATTTTCATCATGAACTTCAACGTAATCGGATGTGCTCAATTTACTCGTTGGATTGTAAACGTGCAATAAATTTTCTCCTTTTAAAGAGTTATCTCTTGGCTGGAATCTAAATAACTTTTCATATTGTTGAGGAAATTTCTCAACTCACTGCTGGAAATGTGCTTTTTGAAGGTAGGGCTAAAACCTGAGTTCCTATATTACAATAGAAATCGAGAAAGAAGACAAAAAAAATGCATTCAGCCTTTAGATATGTAAAGAAGAGACTGGTTTCAATTTGACCTCGGATTGGTTTGAACTCTAACATTTTCATTAAATGCTTCTTTGCGGGAATAAATTCTATTCGGAAAGCATATTAGAAACAAATATATTAGTGCTAATATGAATACCTTTTCTCTAAAAATAATCTGAGTAGTTAGCAACAGATATTGGCTCCGTGACTGACTATTTGTTTGCTTTTCTTGACTGTTTATCCGGAACGGTTGTCTCAAAATTCAAAAGGCTGTGTCGAAAAGGTATTTTTTTTTTCTTTGAGAAATTACTCGTGCTTATTTATTTGAAATAGCATCTCAAAACATCTGATTATCAGCGCGAAGTGTTTGTTCCGGCTACATGGTATCTTTATCGTTTCGGTTTTTCGGCCCATTTTAGTCTTGCCCGTCATCATTTTGGACGTTATCGTCTCATTAAAATTCATGCTGCCGTGGTTGCTACTAAGGCCCAGTTCAAACGGCGAATTTCACATGTGCCGAACTTAACTCTGTTCGCTGTCAATATTCCCAGGCGCACCACATATTTGCTAGACCGTGACGATTGAGCGTTTGCTCAAAGGCCCATTTTCATCCGAGATCCTTAGCAGTCGTTTGTTTTTGTTTTGGAATCGCGCTATTGTTAAATGGCGAACTCTGATAGTCATTCACAAACACTATTAAAAAGAAAAACAAAGATTTGGTGAAGAACACAGTAAACAAATTTGCAGCTAA